TGGCAGGATTGCTGTGTCTGCCACAAATAAGTCTATGGCTGCTCCTGGCTTAGTTCTCAGCGATAACGGGCACCATGAGAGGAAATCGCACAAAGTATGAGGAGCTGGGACGTTGCTTTATTGTTCTTTTGGTGTGACAGCGGCTGCCAGCAGGGGAGCTGGCTCAGAGCGCTGCTATGAAGTGCCCTGGACCTCCAGAGAGCCAGAGGCTTGCTGCCCTCCTGGGAAAGGCCTTAGCCAGAGAGGTGGAAAGAGCCAGTTCTCCAGAGTCTCGCCCTGAAGGTATCTCCCTGTCCTTTTGGAAGTCCCTGAGGGACCGCAGGGATGCCGTGCTGGTTCTGCCGTCCCATCCACCTGAAAGCAAATGTTATCCCTCCATGGCCTAAGCTTAAGGAATGGAGGGGAGAAGGGTCTCTGTTGGTCCTGGTTTACATCTTTTTAATGCTTTTTATAAACCAGGTGCTTTATGTTTTGGTTTGACTCAAGTAGTTTTGGGAAACGTGGAGCAGGTAAGAGCAGGCAAGCAATGGCGAAGCCATAAATATGACACGTTAGAATTAATTGTGCTTGACACCATCTTTGAGTCCCACCTCTTCAGACGGGAGAAGAGGGAATTCACTGAGGTCTGACAGATCCCAGCCCCATTCCTGGCTGCTAAAGCAGGTCAGTCTGCTCCGTTGGAAGCTACAACACTTCATGGCCTGTGTATGCTCAGCTGCTCCTGTAAAGTGTGTCAGATCCACGGAAGAATGCTCAAAAGTGCCCTGCCAGCCTTGTCTCTCTTTTGCAATAATGTAGAAGTGCTATTTTTTACCAAGTATTTTTATTACCACATAGAGCGAAACAGGGAAATGGCAAATGTGACTAACATTAAACAAACTGGTGGTAAATGTCTGTTCTGTGTAGCTGCTCAGCCCTTTCGGATCTCCTGCAGTAATGTTCTGATGTGTGCCATGGGTCATGTACAGCATTGTAACAACAGCCAGAGCAAACTCCTTCCTCTCACCTGAAAGCATCTTTGAAGCAGATGTAAGAAAGATAAAGCTGAATATGCTTTGCCTCGTGCCTTTGGGGAGGGATGAGCCTGGCTTCTGTGGTCCCACTGCTAGGGAAATAGAAAGGCTGTTAAAAAACAAATCTTGAAGAGTAAATCAAAACCTGACTCCAGTTTCTCCCTCCCCATGGAGGCTTCTGGAGGGGGAAGTAACAAGCACACTCAGCACCTTGTCTGTAAGAGCTCGGTTTGGGGGTTCACATGCACTGTGCAGGGGGAGGGCCGGGTTCTCCCTCACTCAGTGCTCCAGTACAGCCCAGCACCAAGCCCCCATGGGTACAGGTAGAGCCTGACTGGGTGGGCAACACCACCAAGTGTGCTGAGCTGCTGCAATCCTTGCCCTTGCCCTCGCTCTGTAGACACAGCCAATTCTTCATTCCAAGCCTCCAGACATCTGAAATGGTAATTAGAGCACTTGGAATGAGCTGAGTCTTCCTTTGGAGATTTGTTAAGAAAATCATCAAAGCACTAACTGTATTTTCCTTCTGACTTCTTCTTCTTCCCCTCAGGGCACAGATACCTCTCTGGCTTGTTACAGGAAAGCAGTTCTGTGGGTTGCAGAAATGAGCTCTCACTTCCACTTCTACCCTGAAACCTTCGCCTTGCCAGCATCTTTAACCAGTTACTGGCATCAGTAAAGGTGGAGAATCCCTGTCCCCTTTTCCCTGGCTAGGATACTGACTGGGGATGTAAGGAGCATGTAATCAGTTTATACACAAAGCAGGCGCTATGTTTGGCAGCAGATTTAGGGATCAGGCAGGGGCTTTGCTGGGCAGGCTTTGAAGCATATATATTTATGTATGAACTTGAGGGTTTAATGAGGTCTCACTGAAGTACAGTCCTCAGTAGGAGCGTTTGTGTGAACTGCAGTCCAAACGCTGTGCTAAGTACAAAGAACCATCATCTGGCTGCCCCTGCTCAACAGAAAACATCTGCATTATCACTTTCACAGTATTTTAGGTTGGGAACCACTATTTTTAACCAACCCATGAAGCCAACTTTTCCTGCCATTGAAACAACAGCAAAGTTACAAGTTGAGCTGAGCCTTGCAGCTCTCAATTCTATCCAGATCACTACTGAATATTAATATTAATAGCATATTAATTAGCACCTCAGCTAGGAGTAACATTGCATTGTAAGTACCATGGCACTGCGTAGACTAAAAACTGTGGGATGCATGAATAAATATTGCACCAAGAGGACTTGTTTTGTTTCACCTTGGAATTCCTTGCTGTATTTCCAGCTTCTAAGGAAGCTTTCTGCAGCTAAACTAATTCAGAAGCAACTGTAACTTAAATGAAGGTTTGAAACCTGTGCATCTGTTGTAGAACGACATTTACTTCCCCCAACACTGTTGCCTTCCTTAGTCAGTGTTTTCTTCTTCTCCCTTCAGGCCCAATTAAAATATCTTCAGTGCATTGCAATTTCCTACCTTGTCCTTGCAGCAAAAACCAATGCAGAAGATGAGGTTTGTATGTTCACTTTTAAACACACTAAACCCATCTCCTATGTTCAATTTGTTCAGGTTTCCAGGTCTTTCAACAACTTGGGCATAATGGAGCGTTAACTTGTTTACCCCAATTAGTCCTTAAGGGCTGACAGTAACATTTTCAGGCCTGTTTTATTGTTGTTTGGAAGAATTGTGACCTTTAGGGATGAAGGACTTGTGTTTCCTATTATAATGGATGCATTTCCCTCCTCCTGCCCTTAAACCTGTCCCCTCTCTTCAGAATCCACAGGTCACAGTAAAGCTTAGTCTGGGGGGAACGGTCAGGATGCAGATGCACAGCTTCATGTGCACAACATCAGAGTGCTGTAATTCTGTTGTTCCAGGTCCTGGAGGGTAAGGTAGGCACAACAGAGCAGAGGTTCTTCAGAGAAAGCTTAAAATAGATGAGTCTGCTCGGAGTCAAAACTGTTTTCTTGAACCTGGGGAGGAAATGAGTCAGGTTTGCACCTCGAGGTGAGCACGTAATATCAGCACCTAGCCCTGTGTGTGTGAGATTCCACAGGATAATCTCTCATGGCAGAAGCACACTGCAGACTTCTTCAGACAGTTACAACCACTAGCCACAAGCATTTCAGACTGCGTTTCTGTTCAGTCTGTTCCAAAAAAGAACAGGAAACACAGGAGTTGGTGTCAGACATGCATGTCTCCAACCAACCACTGCTGAGGTGAAATGTTCTTCAGAGCCTTTCTCCGGACATGTCCCACTGAGCTTATTCTTCTTTTCCTCTTAGCTAAGAAGGAGAAGCTGTGTCAATGACAGGAAAAAAGACAACCACCAAAGGTCCACAGAACAGGCCAGCAGGAAGCCTCCTCCTGGCTTGTCAGAGGAGCAAACCCAATGACACTGGTAGCAGGGACCGTGCCCCACCGATGCAGCACTAAGGGGGCTCGTGGTGACCCCGGGGGTGACGGGCATGGTTCATGGTAAGCACGGGCTGTCCTTCATTTGGGACAGGAGTAAATGCTGAATGAGTTGTATAAACTCATCATATCCCTTCCAGATACAGAGAAACACACAGAGCATTATGTAGGACGTTGGCTTCTTTATTATTTGTAATGATTTCTTTTTACAGGTAATACCATCGGTGAAGATGCTCGCGGTGCAGAGTGCTTGCAAACGCTCTCCAGCTGAGATCTTGCAAATGGAAAGAATTATACTAGATAAGCTTCACTGGGACCTTTACACAGCAACACCAATGGATTTCTTAAACATCGTAAGCACTACGTTTTGCAAATTGTTTTTCTCCAAAGAAACAGCTCCTTATCAAAGAAGACTAGAAAACACAGATGCGCACACATACACACCCCACACATCCACCCCAAGGTGCTCTGCAAGCTCCCTGTCCTTAGCTCTCTGCAAGCCTTTTGAAGAATGGTACAGTGAGTTTGATTTTCTTAATTTATATTTAAAATTTTCTACTATTTAAAATCTTTAATTCTGCGCAAAAAATTATTCCCCTCATAGAATCACAGAATGGTTTGGGTTGGAAAGGACCTTAAGATCATCAAGTTCCAACTTCCTGCCACGGGCAGGGATGCCTCACACTAGACCACGTTGCCCAAGGCTCTGTCCAACCTGGCCTTGAACACTGCCAGAGATGGGGCATTCACCACTCCTTTGGGCAGCCTGTTCCAGTGCCTCACCACCCTCACAGGGAAGAACTTCTTCCTTATAAAGAACTTCTTCCTTCTTTAAAGGACAACTTAAACAGACATTAAAAAGATTCTCATATGCACCACTATATGCCATTTTTATTTTTTTAAATACACACTGCAAAAATATTTCTAACTATTTCCCTCTATGAATACTGTACATAGAAAGCTGTCAGAGTTTTGCTACATTTCACACACAGGCTTTTTCTTAAACCATTTTCCTTTTCATCCCACTAATGATCCACCCCTGGTTTAGGCAATGAGACTACCCCAATCTGGCACTTAGTTCACATTGCAGTTACTAAACATTTGCTAGAAACAATTAAACTTCGTCTTCAAGAAAGATCATGTGCTAATAAGGCAAAAATTATGTGATACAAACACATCCTGGATCCCTTTTCTTAAGGTTATGTGCAAATATTAAGCCATCTTAGGCTGCTGATTGTGAAAACTGCCTTTTTAGGTGCTTGTTTCCTTGGTAAATTCAGAGTGCAGTCACTGTTGTAGGTTCTACTCTATTCATATCTGCTGAATTTAATCTTCTGGATAGCAATCTGGAGAACGCAGACACTTCAGAAATCGTTAGGAAACACAGACCTTCTACATTCATTTTAAGCTCAAAAAACCCAGTCCAATGGTTGGCAAGTACAAACACAAAACACCCAAAAAATAAGGTGTGGGGAGGAACCCTTTAGGTTTCCTGATATGAAATGAAATTAGTCTGTATTTCTGATTGATAACACAGGAAAACATACAAAGTTCACTGACCTCTGGGGGGGGTTAATATATATACTTTTTCTTCTCTCCAGTTCCATGCCATGGTGATGTCCATCTGGCCCCATCTACTACCTGGGCTGCCTCAGATGAATCCTTCCCTCCACGTCGCGCTCTTGACCAGACAGCTACAGCACTGTATGGCGTGCCACCAGCTATTGCAGTTTAAGGGCTCCACATTGGTCTTGGTGATCATCACCTTAGAGCTGGAGAGGCAGACTCCTGATTGGTTTCCTGTTATTACTGATCTGCTAAAGAAAGCACAGGTAGGAATCAAAATGGCCTTTGGTCACAGATCTTGAGGCCAGGACACTGATAAATTAAAGCACATGTGTATTTACAACCAACATTGCACTTCAGCAGCCTCCTGAGAAGCGTGTGTCCATGTTCTGCCCCTGCTGCAGACCTCACGAGTGCTAACAAAAGATGGAATGAAACTGCAGTGAAAGGGTGGGAATGGCAGAGGGCCCTCCCTTGGGCAGGAAAAGGAGGCTTCCAAAGTGCTTGGCCACGAGTAGCCCCCTGACTCCCATTCTCCCACAGCAGGAACGTTTGAGATCACCTACAAACCTGCCCACTGTGTCCCAGCCTCCCACTGAGCACTGCTGAAACCTCCAGGTACAGTTACATGGCTTTTACAATATAATCAGTTTGGCTTCTAATGATCCACATTAAAGGCAAACTCTGGGGTTTGTTCTTTTAAAGCTGTTCTCCAGCTCTCAATCCCTCATCACTGAGGGACTATACCTAGAAGGCTGAAGACCCAGGTTGTCAGTTTACCATCCACCCATTTGTGGTCTTGAATTTGCCTGAAGCAACCCAGCCTCCTGCTGTCCTCCTCACCAGTGGCACCTCCTAAAAAGAGAGAGAACTTACCCACCTTCTGTGTAGCAGTTCAGGAGCTCCTGGTTACGTGGTTTGCATCAGGGTCAACACGCATACTGCTGATACGAGGCATCAATGCAGCCTGTCCCTCCCCTCCCCATAATTACACAGTTACAGGAGCAGCAGCCAGGAGAGAGCCTGAACTTACATACAGTCTGCCTTTTTCCTCACAGGCTAACAGCCCTGAATTCATCCACTGCAAAGGGCTCGTGGACCAAGAGCTCACGTGCCTGCAGCCATCCAACACTTTGTATTTTCTGGCCCATCAGCCAAGACACCCAGGGCCACCCCAAGGCAAGGCCAGCACAGCACAACCCTTCTGGACTGAAGAATTCCCATCAAGCAAGGCTGAGGGTTGCTGTAAACCACCCAGTTTTAGCACCTTTCACACCTCCTACAGCCCAAGTTCCTGAGGACACCGTGGGGACCGAGGAATGCTACGATGGGTTCAGACTCCTGCACAGTGAGGACATGGGAGCGAGTGGTGGGTGGGTGAACATGGGTGGCTGGTGCCTCCCCATGTCCTCCCCTGAGAGGGACCAGTGGGGACTTGCTGCCTTGGAAGCAGCAACTGCAGAACCTGTCCCAGAGAACAGAGCAGCCAACAAAGCAGAGTGAAAGCGCTGCTGCGTTTCGCAGAGGATAATGACACGTTGACATTACCTGTTTCTTACCTCCTTCCTAAGCAGCGTGTGCTACCTCTCAGTTTTAACCTCATGTAAACCCAGAAAGCTGGGGGAGGGACTTGGTCACAATCCTACACCTCAGGGATCAAGTTGGCAGAAGGCTGAGAACTGCACCAGAGAGAATCAAAGGAACCAGAGATTGTTTTTGAAGTAGCTGTGATGAAGTGTGACAGGCTGAGCCTTTCATCCAGCTCACTCCATTGTTCTCTTATTAGAGCTGATTTCACTTGCCCCATGGGACAGCCCCAGGAGCTGCTTTCGAGGAAGGGGGAGCTCCCATTGCTGCTCTGAGAGCAGCTCCCAGGTAGAACCAAGGTTTTCATTTAGCAGTGAGAAGGCTGAGGATCAAACCTCCCCTTTTCCATAAGGCTTCCCCTGGAATGCAGGGCTCTGAGGTCCGTGTCCCTTCCTGGTTAAGCCAGTCCCACTTCCTATCCACAAGCACCGTTACCTCGGGCCCTCACCAACCAGCGTGTGCTGCTCAGGGACTTTCAGATTCATTCTGTTTTACCAGACAATACAAAAAGCCCTTGGAATTCCAGCTCTGAACCCACGGCCCCTCAGACCCAGTCTGGCCAGGCCCTGCTTGCTTCTCACCTGGTCCTGCTTCCACTGCAGCCTCCCTCGCTGATGATGAGTGATGTGGGGTGAACATGCTCATCATGGGGTTCAGTCCCTGCTGCCTGCAAGGGGTGGGAGTCTCTGGAACGTCCCCGTGTGCCCCGTTTGGTTATTTCACCCACATACCTGTTTGGTGCCGAGATTCATTTCCCAGTTCTAGCCTATGCCGAGGGCATCCGGAGGTTTCGGTGACTGCCAAGTGCAACACACCCAGGGACAGGAGCTCAGTGCCTGTGGCTGTCGATGCCTTGACACCGTCCTCTCCATCCCAGCTCACTCCTGGGTGGTTACAGCCCAGCCTGCTCAGGGGGGAACCTTGAGGGGGTCCTGGTGCAGCCCGCTCCAGTCACCCCATCCTGCTTCTGTCACCCTGTCGCACACAAGGCAGGGGCACAGGGTGCAAACTGCCCTGAAACCTCCTACCAAGGAGAGGCTTTCTGCTGGTCCAAGGCAGGAGCAGCTGGAGAAGGGGAGGGGGACTGCTGGCAGCAGCCCCAGGCCTGTGGGGCTGCACAGGGGACATCACTCTATAACCACAGACACAGGGCAAGGGGGTTATAACAGGGGGAATCTGGATAACTTTGAGGGCGGTGAATTTGGCCACAGCACTCTGCTGTTGCAGTGACTGTAACTGATGTACAAAACATGGTTTTAAGAGGTGTTTGTTAAACAAGTCAGTTTTGTTTTTATTAAGCCCAACTCTGGTACAAGCAGGTCATTCCTGAGATTCATTTACAAGGTTTGTTTTAAGACAAAGACAAACTGGGGCCTCTCCCTGCTCTGTGTGAAGTCAGACTGGGGCACAGACGTCACGCTTCGTTTTAACTTGTTGAGGTTTTTAAACAAGTATGTGTTCAAGGGGAAGTCAGTCTGTTACAAGCACAACTCACAGCCAGGAACACCCAGTCTCCAGCTTTAAACCGTTTCCCCTCTGTTAATATAGAACATTCAGTTGTCCTTCAAAACAGTTCCCTTCTCACCCACCACATCCCACTGGTGTTACCCATCCCAAAGCAGCAGTGGGAGGTGGGCAGGGTTAAGGTGTGAGGCACAGCTCTGCAGCCCTAGAACAAAGGCTGGTTTGGTTATAAACCTGTAAGTCCAAGGAGAAAAGCCACACGTGGTAGAGTTATTGCTGAGAAACGTGAGAATGCAGAAGAAAGGGATATTAGGAGGTTCTCCAGGCCCATCCCCAAACCAGAGCGAGGGATGACACACAACCCCCACTGCAGCAGCAGCAAAGCCGAGTGCTCCCCTCACACTAACCCGCTTTATCCCCCGTCCCCATGGAAGCTGGGTCAGTGTTAACTGCTCTGTGACCTCTCCTGGAGATCAGAGCTGTGGGTTTAGTGCAAGCCATGCAGAAGCCTCCATTAGCAGGTTTATCTTTGGGCAAGTTATCTTAGATTTCAACTTTATCGAGAAACCTGATGGAGCAAACTGTTCCCAATCAGAAGGCACGGTTCATCTTAGTCCTTGCTATATAATCTCTTCAGTGCCATATAGTGCAAGCTTAAAGGTGAAAGCACCAATTAATTTCTTCTGCATGAGATGTTTTGGCCTTAATAAATCTTCTAATTAACATATCTTCCTGATGCAATGGAGCACGCACTGGGAAGACTAAAAAAGCTACAGAAAGAACAGAAGAGAATCAGTGTTTGAGTTTCAGTTACTTACATTAAGACAGCATGAAGGGTCAAAGTACAAATCTAACATGTGGGGCTGGGCATCTGAATTTAAACCATTACGACCCGGAGAAGCTCTCACGGCTGCCAAGACCTTGTTTGGAACCAGTAACCAGAGGATTGATGAGAAGTTTGAATGAGGAACGGCTGCTGGAGGGAACATCTGAGAAGCCGTGTGCTGTGATGGGGTGGGAGAAGGACAGAGCTCTCCCAGCCTGGCCAGGACACACAGACTGGGCCAGTGGCTTTGCGTTTGTCCTATAGAAGAGCCCGGGACAAGGAGACCAGGTTGGGTTTGGGTTGTCTCCTGAAGGGAAAGCACCCACACGTCCTGGGGTCTTGGTCACCGGGCTTCAGCAACAGAGCTGCAAAACATGGGCAGGACCTACCTTGCTGCTGAGCTTAACACCCTCTGCACTCCTTATTCTGTTGCAAGCATCTCTAGGGACTTTGCATGGATATTAATGAATAATTAACATTGCTCCTGTGGAAGATCACTTGCCAACGCACATCATCCTGCATCACCAGCTGGCCCAGCTTTGAAATGACCGGTCTCCACCACCTTAGTTCCCCAACTAATCCCTGGGGCAGTGATGGGTACAGGCAGTGTCCCAACAGCTCCAGCCACCTCTTCTGGTCACCTTGGCACCAGAGCTGGGCACCAACCCGGCCTGGTACAAAGATGGGATGCCAACACGCAGCACACAGGACATCCAGAGCTGCCCGATGCCTTTAAAGCAAACTGTGTATTAAATGCAGACAGCAGAGGTCTCGCACACAAGCAAACTCCTGCAGCAACAGCACAGTCCACCTGCACATTCCTAAGATGATCTTGGAAGCAGCCAGGATCCTGCCAAGATCACTGACTTGCTTTTGTGCTTGGAACTGGGGCTGCAGAAAACACTCCATCAAAAGCAGCCCTTCAGCAAACACTGTGCATCAGCCAAACTCCACTTGTTGGCTTGGTCTGAACTGCAGCATTGATCTAGGTCCAATAACAAATACAACCCAGAGAGACCCTAAATTATCCCAAAATAACTTCCTATGTAGCGATAACACAGAACAGACACCAAGGACGTGCCTTAGGGTAAGACTTCAGCAGCAAGCTTAAAAAAGAGCTCTCAAGCAGGCTCAAAGAAGAGCCTCAAACTAAAGCTCTGCTTATTTTTGGCCTTGACCTAAGCGTACAACATGCTTCTCCAGAAAAAGCACACAGCTTTGGAGGTATCATGGAATTCCAGACTGGTTTGGTTTCGAAGGGACCTTAAAGCTCATCCAGTTCCAACCCCCTGTACTATTAGGAAACCCTCCACCTTTCTCCCCTTTCATCCCACCCTTAAATCACCTCTTTGGGCAGTGTCACATCAGCCA